GGACTGCTCAAATGAGTAAAGTCATATCTCTAAATGTGTACACCTCATTCTTTGATTAATCTGGGACAGTTAATTATCTTTCAGAATTCTTAGAATATCTTAGTAGTAATCGGGATGCTTAATATCCTGAAGAGGAGGATGGGAAAGACTACTCTCACAGGGGAGTGTTGCAAAAGAATGTTTTTGTTTCAGCTGGCTCAGGTTTAAATACGTTGTTCTCCAATTGCTGTTTTGATCATTCCCCTTAAGTACCTTGATTAACAGTGCCAGTGTGTGCCCACTGCAGTAATTGTGTGCTATTGTTATTTAAAGGCTAAATCTAAGCCTGGCTGTAACTATAGCTACATGATCAGGTTACAGATTAGAGCTCTCTAAATAAGCTTGAAAAAGAATTTGCTGTTAAATTCTAATACTGACTATTATCTCACACATTTTTTTGTTCTTTACTTTGTATAGAATGTTCCCATAGCGTTTGCTGTCTCAGCAGCTATTACATGGAAAAATGTGCATAACCTGGTTTGTGCTTCTATGTACAAACTCTAGGTCAATACATATATTTTTATGACAACAAATTGCTAACCTACAGAGCACCAAATGGTAGAACAAAAATAATAAGAAATAATAATAAGGAAAGTTTTTACTTGCATTGAGAAACTCAAATAATGCTAGGATAGTTGTTTGTACATGTACACCTATCTCAGATGATCAAGTAGATAAGTTACCAAGAATCAGATATATTCAATTCAAATAGTGAAACCACTTGGACCACCCTGTACCTTTCATTTGAAGTTTCAAACCCAATGTTAATGTGAACCAAGCCTCACAGTAGCCATGAATAGAGGTGATAAGTATTGCTATGCCCATTTTACAGAAAGACAAACTTAAGCACTGTCAGGTTGCAGGAACATCCAAACATTCAACACCCAAGAAACTAATTAAAATATTGCCTCTGTTTCTTTGAGATATTAGATCTAATTCCTTGCGTGCAAGGCTGATAAAAGAGGAGTCTATTATTGAAATATATATGTATATTAATGGACATGGGGTGTAGATACTGAAAACAAGGCTATAATTGCCTTAATCTGTTCTCAGTTTCCTGGGTAATGGAATGATGGATGTAGTGTAGGACATTGTTGCTCAATAATGCAAACTTTGAATTTAATGGGCTTTAAGTCAGATCCTATGGTAACAGATGATAGCTTCTTTACAGACAGACAGTTGTCTACTGTGGTTGTAATGGAAAAATCATTTTAATCTGTTTTTGTAAGGAAAATAAGCTCAAGGGATTGGCTGTCTGCCAGTTTCCTCTCCCCCAATCATTTTTGATGTTAGTCATCTTCAGCCAAATTTGATATATAGATATAAACCTCAAAACATCCTAAAATCTCATGAAAATCAATAGCTGGGTAGAAAAGAGCTACATCAGTGCCTCTATTAGGAGTGGGGATTATAACCCAAACATTTATCTGGTCCACGATGTGGGATTCAACGGGCCAGGACATACTGCTGGAGCTCTGGAGCAGCTGCAGAACTGCAGGAGAGGGAGCTGAGGGAGGGAAAAGTATTTGCAGAGATGGGATGTGCTGGGGATAGGAGAGTGAACTGGGAGTGCTGAGGAGGAGGGTAGGGAGGGGATCTGGAGCAGAAAATCAGGACAGGAAACAAAACTTTATTAGTTTTGCTGATTGCGGAATGACTTGTTAATTATGTCAGAAGTAGTACAGTGCTGGACCAGGGCAGTAGCAATTCTAGGGCTTGTGGAAACCTGTACTTGCATACTGGATTCGAAGACTTTTTGTCTTAGTGAACCTATAGCCAGACTGTCCTTCCAGTTCTCATGACCTTGGTTCAAGTTACAGTTCCAAATACTTGGCTTATGTGCAAAGTGTGAGGAACACAAATTCCCCTCATATCTATATGTTGAATGGGATGATATTGCTGCCATTCCTTTCCAGGACTGTTTGTTCCAGGTCACAGTTTAAGGGACACAATGTCTGTAGATTGTCTTTCAGAGCACTAAAATGCTAGCAGGAAGTACAGTTTCCTGTCTGCTCCCTTATCCTGGGGAAGCCCTCGAACATCACATGAGGGAAGGTCTGAGAAGAAACAAGAAAAACTTGTTCTCACTTTTGCTTACTCGAAGCTGCTAGGAGTGGTGTCTCTGGAAGCTCGTCTGTATTTTTGCTTCTGTTACAAATGGAAATTATTTTGGCACGTGTTTATGATTAAGAGTATGTTTACAGGGCAGTCATACAGGTCCCACCTAGCTCGGGTACTGTGGTGTTGTGAGAGTTTATTCTAGCAACCGTGCTGTTACGTGCTACTCAAATTGGCTTTAAACTCGCTGGCTTATGTCCCCTGTAGACATGGACCGCCACACATCTAGATTCACTCTCAGATCCATTTCTGTTTTACTAGCCCTCTACTGGAATCATGGACCTCAGTGGCTAGTTGCCAGGCACCTACGACTCCCAGTGATTTCAGGGTTCTTCCTTTCTTTGGACCAGACCTTACATCAGCACACTGGAAAAAGAGCACCTGCTGGGGTTATATGGCTTCTCACTTGTTCATTTTTAATAAGCTTTATTAAGTTACTGCACAGCCACTCTGAAAGCACCAAGGCAGTTTATGCACAGTTGCGAACACGGCATGCTCGCTTCCCAGTTCCAGCTGTTGTGTATCTTACCAAACTCGCAAATGAAGCCGAATTCCTGGCTGCAATTTTCAGCCACACCCCACTGATACTTGGCGTTCTTCAGGATATACCCACATGTGGATAAGAAGGAAGAAGGCTGATCCTTGTACCAGTTACTGTAGCTTATATTTGAAGTGTCCAGCCAAATCATTGACCCTGTGAACAAAGTAATTGTGTCCTGAGTATTTATTTTCCACAGTAATCCAATTACACAGTTGGAGCCTTCAGAGCAAGACTGTAGACCTGCTCCTACTGAAGCAGAGGTGTTTTTTTCTGCGTAGGGATCTTCAATTATATTTTATATTTAACCTAACATAACCACTGAAAGAGACACCACCATTTCCCCCTCTGCTTCCATCCTCCAGATTCAACCATTTCCCTTGCATCAGATCTTGCAGCGCTTCCTAATGTGACGATTGGCTCAGCTTGCTTTTCCACTGGAGAACTAACTCATCACATTTTTTTTCACTGGATCGGCAAGCTGATCTAATTCATCATGCGTTCACACAACCACAAGATCCAATGGAAAGATTGACAAATGCAACTTGGAAGCGAAGCAGGGAACTAAAACATCTTAATATAAATCTGAAGTTACAGCAACAAAAGACAGTGACTTTTCAGCAGATGTCTGCAGAGGCACTGGTAGCATTTGTTGTCATGTTAAGTAAGCATCATGGGCTGATACAGTTTTAAAGAAGACATGATTTCAAAATCACCTACCGTTAGTAGTTCCATTCAGCAAGGAGTTTGAGATCAGTCCTATCCACCATTCCTGATCCTCAGCAATATGTTTTTGCAAGAACTCTTGAGTTTCCTCATTTTCGATAAAGACAAGGTGCCCCCCTCCTCTCTCACACCAACTCTGGGCACGTGTGAAGGTACGCTGGAGTCTAACAAACTCATAGCAAGAACGGTTGAAAGCTAGCTGGTACTTTGAGCAAGGGATTCCTTCATCAATGGTTGCCTCCTCCACAGACAAGCATACAGCAAGAGAAACTAGAACTGCGATCCCAAGCCACATTCTCAGCTCCGTGCCCTGTGTGGCACTGGTCTTGCTTATCACACCACCACTCTTTTTGTTGCCTTGTTCAAAAGCTTGAGATGTCATCGTTGTCATGTCATCAGCATTTCTCCTTCCTCTTTGCTGCTTGCAACAATAGCAGCAATAGAACACGGAACAGATTGCTTCTAACATATAATGGTGATTGTGTCTGAAGATACACAAGTGTTGTTGCTAAGTCACTGCAATGGCCATTGTGAGGCCTATTTTATAAATGTCTCATTTCATGTAAAATCAGTTTGAAGAGAAGACATTAGAGCGTTGCTTTCCTCATGAGCAGAAGAGATAAAGTTGATATATGCTGCTATTGGACATGTGGGAAAGTGAGATAAAGCTCCTACATCAAAGGCAAGCTGGAGGTCTTTGCAACAGCAATAAAGAGATACAATAGTAATAATGAGAGGAGAATGAGGAAAATGAGAAACATAAGGAGTTATGAGATGGGAAAACACACAATGCTCCTCTAGATATGTTTAATTGGTTTGGGTTGCCTTATTTTTAATAATTATTATTTGAGGTGTTTCTTTTGGATGCTAATGTAATGCAATGTCTATAATTATCGTATCATATTCATCCTGTCCTCCCATTTACACATACGCAGGTTGATCTCAGCCGTCCTAAGTAAGCTTCATTTTGAAGTGTTGTGTCTGTTTAGAATTGCATAGCCCAAGTGACATGCTCCCATCATCCCTGAAAAGCTGCAGGAAGTTCTGCTTAACTAGATAGTATTTATACCTGCTAGAATGTAGAAGGGAAGGCCAGAAGTCAAAACAGTGATTTAGAAAAGATGGAAGTATTGCTTTAGTCATCAGAACTACTTGGGAGCCCTATGCGCACATTCCAAAGGCTGCTGATGGAGTTTGGGAAGACAGCCCAGCAACATTTAGGAGCTGAAATCCCTAAATACTTCTGAACTTCCATTACAAAAGATATCCATCAGGTTTACAAGGCTACTGGATTAGCAGAAATACAGTACAAATACAGATCTTCAGCTAGTGTGATCCTCCTGTCCTTGGCATTAACTCCATTGAATTTAATTCAATTATTATTCATTTATACCACCATAACCTGACACTGAAAGAACATGCACTTGTATTTAGACATGGATCAGTGAGCCAGCTACTGCCTCACAAAGATGCAGGAAGCTGTGGTATTTGTTTGAATTCCCTCCTTGCAGAAATGCCACCTGCATTGCACTATTGAGCTGGAGGGAATGCACGTCGCGCAGTGAGCCAGTCCAGCTCTAGCTATCTAAAGCTTTCTTGCAAAGTAAAGTACGTGTATCACATCCAGTAAGCATTTAAGAGTGACCTTCAGTCCCAAGACCTTTCTGGACTTCTAGTTCATAGTCATCTTGTTCAGCTGGATAAAGCAGGACTATGATCAGGGTTTTCAAGATAAAGTTCATGGGTAAGTGTTTAATGGGTAGGACAGTTGTGGGGGAGGAGAGGAAAGGGGAAGAAAATGCACTGTGATGGAGGGATAGACACTATGCTGGACGTCCCCTTTCCCACTGCATTTGAAGATCGAGACTTACCTCAGCTATGGAAACATTGGAGCAGGTCCCACATTAATTTCTGACTGATTAATAGGGAGGGTTTATGGAGCAGCTGAGATGTGAATATTCAGACTGGCTTTCCCAGCTCTGGGGAAGGTCAATCCATATTCTAATTAGCTGATGTATCTGGCCCGGTCAATGCCCAGACACCCAACCCCTTCCCGTAAGAGACCACATAACTATGATTATCAGCTGGTTCTGCTGAGGATGTCCGCAAATTAGGAGCTCCTTTAGAGCTGCATACCAAACTTCATAGGCTTCAGTTTGGGAACCCACGACCCAACTGGTTTACATTCAAGCTGTTGCAAAAGTCAGAGCTGAGGGCAGCTGCTGCTCAGTTAGTTGGCCACTGTATTTTCATGACATTTTGTTCAGAATCCGTTCTTCTTCTTGGGCCATGCTGACTTGCCAGGCTTTGGAGAAACTGGCAGCCAGCCCTCTCGTTTTGTCCTCTTAGATATGAGAAACACAGCCTGTTTCTGAAAACATAGGTGTGATGAAGGATACTGTACTTAAATGTACCTGACTCAGTGATACAGACTATGCATTTCCAGTAGGTGCCATTGACTCACATTTGTGATGAATGGATTCTGTAGCATCGTCCAGTTCTCTCTCTGCAACTGGTAATTTGACTACATGAACATACTGCTAAAATGCCAGAGCTGGAGGTGCCACAGGCTATCCTCGGCAAATCTGCTCCAAAGCCATTGAAATTAATGGAAGTCTTGTCTCGGGCTTTGACGAATCTTGAAACAGGCCCCAAAAAAGAACAAATAATGTTTGGAAATGTCTACAAATAAAGCCAAGCTCTCCAAGTGAGCCTACTGTTGGCAGTTTCTACAGCAGTGTGAATTTTTTTCCCAATCTACGGTTGCTATAAGTAACTCTTCAACAGTCCACAGCAGATGGGGAATAGAAGAAAGACAGTTTCCCTCTTTTGCTTGTTGACTTCATATATTTTAGTGCCAGTAAAGCAGTCTGTCAGTTTATTCTGTTTACCACAAGGAAGAGAAAAGCATTTAAAGAAAAGAAAATACTGCTTCAAAAGCATCAAAATTAGCAACTGGGGTCCTCAGGAAGAGAAAAAATTCCTGAAAGCCCTTTTCACTCATAATTGAAAAATGACTTGATTTCAAATGAACAGTGCTCCTTGAGTTTACCATTTTGTAGAAAACATGCATTTTTCCTCAACAGAAAGGTGTGGGTTTTTTTTTAAATAGTTTTCTTGTGCCAGAAATCCACATGGAAGCTTCTGAGTATAATGGTTTCTTAATCTTTTTTCCTATTTGCCTTTGTATAGCTGGATGAATTGAAATAATTTAATAGTTCAAGAAGTCACTGAAATAGTCACACACGCTAGTGTGGAAGAGACAAAATGATGTACCTGGCTGTGTAATCTCATCTTGCATGCTTCAATAGGGAATCATAGAAATGCTTAATTAAACCTCTCTCAGTGTCTCAAGGGGGTGGCTGGCAATTACAATAAGTTCTTCTCTTCTGGCTGCCCATGGGAGTGTAACTGACCCATGTATTGCAAAGCCACTCCAGTATCTTCAGGGAAGTGTCAGGCATAATGTCAGCTGTATAGATTTTGGATACATCAAAACCATTCACTTGCTGGTTTTGTTTGCCTTTTGCATAGTTCGGAAGAACTGGGGCAAACTTACAAAAGAAAAGTCTTTTAATAATAAGCATTATTATTCAAATATTAGTCAATTCAAATATTATTCAAAAATTAATGCTTATTAGTCAAATATTAAGCATTATTTTTAAGGAACTATGAGCCCCTCACATATAGCCAGGACTTGTTAATCCTTGTTCAGTTGCAGCTGTCTGCCTGAAAGGCTGCTGTAGCAACCACCCTTACAGCATGTGTTATGTACCAGTGACTTAAACTGAAACATATTCACTCACTAAAATAAGCCTTGCAAAGCAATTGCGTTTTGCAAGCTTTGGCTAGAAATTACTGACAAAGCTTCCTCAAGATTTTCACACCCTCGCTCCAAGCCGCGATAAAGCTATGAATAACTCCTTTGTTTGTGAACTCTCTTGCGTCTGTTGGAATAAGTCTTTCATTTTTGCCAGAAATGTTGCAGGGGGCCCTGCAGATCTCTGTCAGAGTCCTAACTTGCCCTTACGAGTTACACCAGACGATGGCCATCAAGAGAAAGTTTCTTCAGAAAAGCATTGTGCTATGGAAAACATCACAAAAGACAAGGATGAATGATTTATTCCTGATTTTCAAACGGATCCTTCAAGGTTTATGTTATTGTTATTGTTTTTGTTGGAAGTAGAAGGTGTTGAGGTGAAAGAAACCTGAGGTATATTTTGTTTATGATGCAGAAAAAGTTAATAGATTTAAAAAAAAATAATGGTGACCTACACTGAGATGCTGGAAGGGAACCTTCTAGGTGGTGTTTGCCACGCCTGAAAATTGAATCCCTTAAAACCAGCTCAGTTTTGGTAGCCAAATCTCAAAGTACTCATAATCCCAAATTTATTTTTTTTTTAAATCTAAGTTTATATCTATAAATTATATGTCATTTGGAAAGTTTAGCGTTATATGCCTAAATTCTTCTAGATTGGGAGATGAGCACACATGATGCTTATCTAACATATGTAGGTGTGGTAGGCTTGCCTTGACACCTTTGAAAATCAGCCTTTCTTGCCCCGAATTAGGCATCAGGCAATGGACTGCCATTTTTGAAAAATACAAGCCTGAATTCTTCTTCAACATAATCTATAGCTCTATAGCTCCAGTCACCCGGAATCCAACTGCAAATTTCTCCGTTACCAACTGCTGTAATTAGGAGAACACAGCTCATTCATAAGACTTTTCTATTTCTGAATTTTTGTCTCCTAGACCTGAGGAAAATCAATTGCAGGGTTTCACTGGGCTACTGGGGAGCTTGATGTGCAGACAAGGAGGAGAGACATGGTGCTGCCACTGACTTTGGGGTGGTCCTGATTTGTACCCTCCTGCAGATTACAGCTGCATCATGACAGCCTAAGAACATCCTCTGATTCAAAAGGCCATTGCAGCACAGCAGAATAGTATGACAATCCTTTCTAGAGGCCAGAAAGTACTAGATTTGAAGAGTTATGGAAGTGAAGAGCTGCCAATGGGAAGGAATAAGTCACACCCCCATTCATTTTGGCTGTTGTTCATTTGCCTTGAGGAAGAGCAAGTAAATTTACTCTCTATAGGAAGATATTCCCATCTTTACATTCCTGAATATTACTGAATGTAATGTAAAGATTTTATCAGGAATATAAATATATCTCTGTTCTGTGAATTGAATGATCATTTAAATGGAAAATTCATTTATATTACTTTGGCTTTGAGGTAGAAAAAAGATGATTTTCAGGTATTATTAACCTGAGACAAGCTCATGAGCAGTCCACTTTCATATGTCAGGTACACTTCCACAACGTGCAGGACTGCCTCTTGAAAAGATCTGTTTCATTATTACCCAAATAGGTAGGAAGT